ATTTGATAAAAAAATATCTCTTTTTAACAAATAAAATATCACACTCTCTCTTGATTCACCCGGAGTTAATTACAAGGGAAATAGTTTGTAAATAAATAAATAAAAAAGATATTTATTCTCCGTGGAAAGAAATATTTCTAAAGGTGAGATTTTATTTTATAGTAAATTAAATTAAACTACAGTGGAGAAATTCTTTTATTTTACTAACTAATATTATTATATGAATATTTATAATATCAAAAGATCACATTTAAAACTTGAAACTTAATATGAATATTTATACTATTTCATAAATAGTATAAATAATTTATGAATATTTATACTATTTCATAAATAGTCATATTATTTGATATGAATAATTATAATATTTCATTAACAATTATATTGTTTGATGAATAATTATATTATTTAATTATTATGTTTCAAGTCTTTAAAAGTATGTTACTATATAAAAAATAAATACAATAAAAAACATAAGTTTTTTTTTTATTTTATCTTCTCATTCTTTTGGAGGTTTAAAGAGCTTAATTATATCTTAGAGATGTTGTCTTTGTGTGAGATAAATAAGCACCTTAAAAATAATGTTTTCTCGCTTCTAAGCCAACTCCATATTTGTTTCTATTCTAAACATTTCTAACAATTTTAAGGTGATTATTTTGATGGTGACAAATATGAATTATAACGTCAAAGTTAATAAAGATGTTAAAATTCAACTAGATCGGTTTAATAGTATGAATTACATAAGATTAGACAAGATGATATTCCAACTTATTTCATTAAAAATTTATTATATTTTTTATCCGAATCTATATGCATTACCGGAACCACAAGAAGATGAATCTATCACCATTAAGACTGCAAAAGTAAAACGTGAAGAAGATGAAGTGCTTGGTCGAGGGCATAAACTGAATACTCTAACCAGTTAACTTTATGACATCTTTTTCAAATTAAAGTCTCCAAAAGAAATTTCAGTTGCTTTGAAAACACACTACAAGCAGGAAAAATCAGGTTCTGATCGTTTTCTTACTTTAAAATTTTTCAAGTATGAGATTATTGACAATAAGCCAATCATGAATCCAGTCCATAAAATTGATCGTTTTCTTACTTTAAAATTTTTCAAGTATGAGATTATTGACAATAAGCCAATCATGAATCAAGTCCATAAAATTTAAATGCTAATATCAAAACTTAATGATTTGGATATCAAAGTTCCTGATTCATTTCAAATGGGGTTATTTTATCAAAACTTCTACCATCTTGGAATGAATATAGAAAGAAAATATTGCAATCTACAAACAATTATACATTTAAACAGTTTCAAATACTCTTGTAAATTGAGGTTCAATTTGGTATACATGAATTGCAAGCAACAAATTCTAAAGTGAATTTGGTTACTAAAACTGGTTTGACAATAACTCAAAATAATCTAAAATTAAAAAAAAATAATCAAATTAAAAAAAATACTAATAAAAAGCATAGAGTTTGTTTCCACTGTGGAAATAAAAGGCACTATGTAAAAAAATATAGATTCAAGAATTTTTATAAAAAAAATAATTTTTTCAAAGTAAATATAGTTGAAAAAAACAAACTCAATAAAATAAATAAATACTTAAAAAATAATATTTTTATACCTCTAAATCAACTTTATAATTATTTTCATCCTAAATATCAGTAACAACTCCAGGATTATGGAGGTGTACATGTTGAAAGAAAGAAATCCTACGCCGAACGAGTCTCTATTAAATGAGGCTATAGAGGCCTGGAGTACCTGAAACAAGACTCAAACTTCGGTTTTTTTGCTTCCACGGGTGATCTACATATTGAATTAAATTGTGTGCTGAAATGAAGCTTACATAAATAATCAACCCGGCAGTACAATGATGTGAAATGGTGGAAAGTTGATGAAATATAAATATTACTCCAGTTAAACCAAACAAAACCCTAGTTAAGGTTAAAATAGCGTCTCATAGTTACAATTTTGTGCCCCAAGGTGATTGAAGCCTGGAACAAATCGTGGCCAAACCCTAGTTTTCTCCAAGGGTAAGTACCATTCTAATTGACCTCTTTTCTTTTCTTTTCATATAATTCCTTCTGCTCTTCTTATTTATTCCAGTAAAATAACGGTTGCAAAGGATTTTTTTCCTCTCTATTCTTCTTCTTTTTCATCAATAAAATCTTATTAGATATTATTTTGATTTGATCTTATTTATGTATTGAATTTTGTTCAATCATAATTTTTATTGCTTGAACCTAAAGAATTTAGGGTTTCTTTTTTCGGACTTTGCCACTGCCTCGCGTACCTCCATTTATGTCTGTCTTCACGTGGCCTTCCATAAGCTCCATTGACAGTACAACTGGTTCACTCTCCAGCGTAACATCATCTTCTCAAAATTATGCAAGTACACACATTGTAAAAAAATTGCAGAGGACTCCATCAAGACTCCCGGTTTAGATCCTTGAGCTTCTGTAGTTTTGGAGCCATGTTACTAGAAAAGCTACAAAGTTTCTGCATGTCATCCTTCTAGTTTCCTCTATGGCGTTGTTTTTTCATGTTGTCAAACTTACTCTGCATTTGTAGACATCATACATCTTGTTGTATCTTCATTTTCTAACAACCACCCCTGCAGTCTTTTAGATCTAGAGGTATACTTGTACGGAAGCTAATTAGAGATCAAAACACTGTAATTAAGTGCACGATTTCCAGGATTTCTTGTTTGTTAGTTCAATTGTCTCCATTCAAACACTATTGTAAGGAAAACAATAAAATTGTGGTACATCACATCCATATCTTTTTGCAAGCATCTTTTAGCCAGTGTGCCAGAACTGATCAATATCGATAATGCTGGATCAGATCATTAATAAATTTATGCCCCAGTTCAGTAAATTTCAAGACAAATGGAATCACAAAACTCGAGTTCCCATTGAAAGCTTCCTCACACGAGTTGAGTTCAGTATAAAGATAAAGATCGCCTAGAGTGAAAGAACGAACAAATATCTCAGGCGGATCCTTCAAGCAAGGCATACTTCATTAGGAACTTCTTTTGGTTACAACCAAGCATCTCACTCAAGCTACAATCTAGTTTCCTCTGTTTCAAAATTTTACACCTCGACTCCAAAGTTTTCTTCAAACCATGCTGTAAGAAGTGTGGGTAATCAACAAATTCATCAATTTGTCTTCCCATTACTTCCACCAAGAACTTGATCCGAGGTTCCAGAGAATTCCTGATAATCTTGATCAAAATAGGGGGATAACCAGTCACCAAAGCTGCAATTTGTCTATCATTAAATCCACATCTCCTTAGATAAGCAAAATTGGGTTTCAGAATCTTGTTGACATCTCTACAAAGAACTTCGGGGAAGTTCATGACCACCGTTTGAAGATCCAGCTCTGTCAGTCCAACTGACTTGAGAAACTCTGAAGTGGGGCGTAGTCTCTTGTCAACGCTATACCCCATTATAAAGGGGTGTTTCACCAAAACTTTACCAATTATCCCATCTTTGGTAAGGCCAAGAGCAGCAAGAAAGTCAACAATTTGTGTGAGCTTGGAATCAATGCTGTAGCTGATGAGCCTTGGGTTGAGCAATAAAATCTTGCCGAGTTGCTTTTCCGGGACCCCAAGTGCCTGAAAAAAAGCCAAAAGGGGGCAGAGCTTCTCTTCAACGCTATGAGACAGTATGTGAGGGAACTCGGTTATGGCGGAAGCAACTTCACGGGGTTTAGAACCAAGGGTAGCAAGGCACTCAACCATGGGGATGAGCTTCTTATTGAGACCGAGAGTGAGGACTTGGGACACTTTGAAATAATTGAAGGGAGCTTTCTCTCTTGAATGCCAATGGTTTTGAGGTAAGCCCAGTTTTCAGATGCCCTATCCCCCTAGGTGCCTTGTAGGCATTTGCACTTTCGGAACATTTCATGGACGGCGTTGTCATCAAAACCTCTATCCCTGAAGAACCACAGGATGCTGCTATTACCATTTTGAGTGCTTGCCATTTCCATATGGGCCGCGAAGAAAAGAAGCAAATGTAATGGTTGTACGAGTAGGGCGAAAAAGAGAGGGAAGGGGAGATGAAATAGAAAATGAAGGAATGAAGATAACATTTGGTGAAATGAGCAAAGGATATAAATGAAGAAGGTTGAAGATTGACTAAAGATTTTGGATAAGAAGTTTTAAGCATTGCAACAAACAAGTTAAGTAATTAGTTGGTGACTTTAATCATATGAGAATGGTGAATTGATTGTATAGCAAGACTATCTTTTGCTTTTTACAAACTACTTTCCATTACATTACAATTGAAAATGAATTGAAACAAAAGAAAGCGATGGTGTTGTAAATGTAAGCGTAATAACTTCATATTTGAATAGCGAGCAACACATAAGAATAAATAAATAAATGCCATACAGCTCTTTCTATCAAGTAATAGAGAAGAAATCATCACCGTAAATAACTTCAACTTGTATATGAATAATTACAAGCAAGGGTGATGAAATAAATAAATAATAACGAATCTCGTCGCAGCACTACATATGAACAATATATATAAGATGAAGAAGATAGTGAGAGAAAGGTCTGACCTTGAGAAGAGAAGCTTAGCACTACTGATTTTTATTTGAGTAATTTATATTCAATTCATCTCGTCTCTCCCAGTTTGCTCCTTCGCGCTTGCCTTTTCTTCTTCTTCTTCTTCTGCGACTGTTCTGTTGTATTTGTATTCTATTCCATTCTAGCCGACATGTAGTCCACTGCTGAAAAGCTAGAGTTTTTGTTCCAGGTTTTTTCACGTTATTTACCACAATTGCCCTTACTGTTTCTAACCGAAAAGACCATGTTGGCCTCATCTCCTTGGCGTTTCTTTCTCTATCCTATTCATTTTGAAAGTATCCGTTTGCTTGTGTCATCTGTTTTCATTTTTCAAAAACCCCAAAACTAAAATCCCCTTTTCCCTTTCTTTCTTCAAAATCAAATGCTGATTTAATCAGTCAGTCACTCCGGGCAGTGGCAATGGCATCGTCATCTCAATTTCGGATCTTGAAGCTCCATTCTCTCTCGCTTACCTCGCTTTTTCAAATACTGCGCCGTTTCAGCAGCTCTGTTAAAGGACGAGCTACTACTTCTACTGGTGTTGCTGCTGCTGCCGCTGGTTTAAATTTCAATGATGAAGAAGAAAGGAAGACGCAGATCCAGAATCAGAATCAGAAACCACCGGATCCCATACCAAACAGGCCTTTAAGAGGCGAGAGACCTAACTTCAATAATAACTATAGCAATAGAGGAATGTGGTGGTGGAGGAGGAGGAGGAGGAGAACCTAACTAACAATCCCCGCCGTCCCCAACCATCTCATCCGCCTCCATCAACCTCACAGCTCCAAACAGATGATTTTAATAGCATCTCTGATGATGCTTTTCTCGATAAATTCAAGCTCCGTCCTGGCCACCACCACAACAACAACAAGAAGAAGGATATCAATCCTCCTCCCTCTACTGATACTGCTGCTGTTACTACAAATGAACAAGAAAGGAGCACTTCCTCTTCCCAGTCCCCACATGATGCTCAAGATATCTTCAACAAAATGAAGGAAACTGGACTCGTCCTTAATGCTGTCGCCATGCTTGATGGCCTCTGCAAGGATGGCCTTGTCCAGGAAGCCATGAAACTCTTTGGCACCATGCGTGAGAAAGGCACCATTCCTGAAGTTGTCATTTACACTGCTGTCGTCCATGGCTTTTGCAAAGCACTCAAGTTCGATGATGCCAAGAGGGTTTTCAGGAAAATGCAGTCCAATGGCATCACTCCTAATGCTTTCAGCTATAGTGTCTTGATTCAAGGACTCTCTAAATGTGATCTCTTTGATGGTGCTATCGATTTCTGTTTCGAGATGTTGGATGCTGGCCACTCCCCCAGTGTTAGCACATTTGTTGCATTGGTTGATGGCTTGTGTACCGAAAAGGGAGTTGAAGAAGCCAGGACTGTTATTGGGACATTGCGCCAAAAGGGATTCTATGTTCATGACAAAGCTGTAAGAGACTTTCTGGACGAAAACAAACCGCTTTCTTCCTCTGTTTGGGAAGTAATTTTTGGCAACAAACCTTCACACAAACCATTTTGACTTGTCTTCCTAAACTAGTGATGGGATGATGCTTCGTAAGTTTTTTTTTAAAAATTTTTTTCTTCTTCCTCCACTCTGTTTCTTTGGCTCCCTCTTAAGCTTAACAGCAAACTTTGTCTCAACTCTCATCTTCATAGATGGAATCTCATCTCTTATGCTTGTAAATGTTTTATGCTTTTTTCAGTTACTGGATATTTGCTACTCATGTGTTAATGAATGTATTTGATCAGCGGTTGTCTTGTTAAAGGCTATTGTGGTTCCATTGGCTTGGCTAAGATTCCTTTACAATATTATGATATAGTCACTTCAGGAGGCATTGGGTAGGATTTCAGAAGTTGTACCTATAGATCATCTTGAAGAATTGTTAGGAGATTTCTGACTTTGCTTTGGCTCTTCATTACAGTGAGAACATCAACATTTTTTTTAAAAAAAAAAATCTCTGCTTTGCGAAATGCCACATGTAAATTGCCATCTTCAAACAATATACATGTATTTCGTGCATTTTGCCAACTGCTCTTTGTGCCCTTGGCATATATTGCCTTTTTGTAACAATTCTGAACTAAATTGAAATGGGTGAAATAGAACAAATTTATTGAATTTCAAAATGCTGAACTCACGAGACAAAAGGACTAAATAAAAAGACAAATAATTTGGTGAATCAATTTGAGGTGCTCCATGCCTCCCATGGACTAAAGTCCAGTCATGAAATTTCCCATATCCCTTCCCCCAAACCAATTCGGATAGTAAAATTATAAATAATTTTTTTAATTAGTTATATATCAATAATTCTAGTTAAGAAATTAAATTCTATTAAAATTTGATAAAAATAAGTCAACAATATTATAATTAATGAGTAATCTAAATAAAATGAGAGGGTAAATAGTATGAATCAATAAATTAATGACATTGAAAAATAAAAAATTTTAGAATAAAATTTCTCAATATAAACGAATTATTGAAAGGTAGGAAGCACACATAAACCTAGTGATAATCTAGTTGTTTCCATTATAATAAATCTTGATAAACCCCCTTTAAGTTGCAACCTAATGAGTTTAAATTAGTAATATGTTGGGAAAAATTCAAATTAAAAATAATTATTTAAAATTAAATAGAATAATAAAAAAATTTTAATGTTAAAATTTCTTCATATAGCATGAATCTTCAATTTTTGTATATTCTTGGCAGATTTGAATTTTGATTTCAAACATGTTGTTCTCTCTCATTTAAATGAATTATTGACCTACAATATACAATTGAAAAATTTTAGATGTCTAGTTTCTATCCCAACTTTAATTAAAATAAAATTCCATCGGTATCTCTAAATATGTCCTAAACAGTATACGAAAATCTTATTTGATATATTTAACAATATTAGTTTACTAACTTTGACCCTCTGAAATATTATATTCTTTTAACTCTATTTGACCTAAAAATATACTACAATATATGTTTATATATCTAATATTTCCTTGTAAAATTTTAACTTTATCTAATATATGATTTTAAAGACATGTTTGATCTCGCAAAACTAGTCAAGGGATTTTTTAAGGTTAAATTTGAACCTAACTTGGTTCATATAATAAATTTAGTAAACTTAAAAAATCAGATCGAGTTTATTGATTTTACTAATTTTACACGATTTAAGTCTGATTTTACTGATTTCGAGTTTTTAATCCGATTTAGTATGTTAGAGAAGATTTTACAAGTTAACTTGCAATTTTAACAACTTTGGTCAAGACTCTGGTTAAATAATGATCTTGGAAGACAATGGATTTTGAACTCAAATTAACAAAAAATACTAAAAGGTTGTTATAGCATGTGTTTTATTGTGGATTTAATTAGTGTAATTATTATTTTACATTTTATTTCTTTAATAATTACCTTGTTATTGAGGGTAAAACTGTATTTTCTATAGGATCCAAATACTATTTGATAATTGATTAGGGGCAAGATTGTTGTTTTATATATTTTTATGTATAGTAAAAATATTATATTGCCCTCAAAGGCTAAAAAAATTAACCTTTGATCCAAGAGTTTTTGCTTCTTGACATGTTTATTTGTACAGTGAAATAATATTTGTGCCTTTTAGATCTTAGAAATATTAACATTTGAGTGAGGGGTTGTTATGTCTTTGCACATTTTATTTACAGTAAATTTTTGGTTTTGCTTTTTGACTTTGATTAATTAAAGGTTGCTTGGAAAGATATTTATGTATTTGCGTCATGGCTTTTTTTAATAATATTTGTATGCCCTCATGGTCGTTTTAGTAATTTGTATTATTATAATATTAATAAATCGATAAAGTTGGTCTATGCATGCCACGCACACGTAGGCACATCATCTCCCCCAGCTCTATTCGGGTGGCTCGTGGTGGCATGTACGGTGATTAAAAAAAAAGGTTGATTGCCTACTCACTTGATATGGAATATGTTTTAGGGTGACATATGTTGCCATCTAAACAACAATTTAATAACAATTGGTCTCTTTTCTCCTTCCCTTCTTCTTTCTTTCATACCTCGATATATATGTAGAGCTTTGACAAATTTAATTGTGTTCTCTAGTTTGTATTTGTTTAGATTTTGATTCTTATTTTTTTAATTTTTATTTTTGTTAGATTTGATGCTTCTTTAAGTTTGTTTTGTTTTTAATTTTACCCCTAATCATTTAATTTAATTAAATTTTTTTATCCAATATGATACTCATTCTTTTTATTGTTATTTTTTTTTATCTTTTTAACTATTATTTTTATTATGTCCTTGGGAGCTTGATTTAATTTTATTTGATTTCTAATTTTTTATTACTTTTTTATCCTTTTCTTCATTTATTTTGTTTTTCATTGTATTCCCTAATTAGTTTCATTCAATTATTTTTGTATGCTATTTAGTCCTTATTTTTTAATTTTATTTTTTTATGGTTTGAAATTTTCCTTATAGTTTTTTTATATCTGTTTTTTGTAAGATAATTTTAATCTCATAACTTGGTTCACAGTTTTGACGATGAACCTGGTTTAAGTTCAATCTTTGTAAAGGTCTTTTTTTAATTATTTTTTTATTTTTATTATTAAATATTGAATTGTTGAGCTTTGAGCATCTTAATTTGTTTTGCTTTTTTTTTTTTTTCATTGGGTTATTATTATCTCATATCTCAATTTGAAAGTTGGTTGAGTTGACTTGATTTTTTTTTTAAAAAAAAATTGATTTTATCCTTTGTCATTGAATTATTAACACTTGAACATATTTTATTAAGTATTATTTAAAAACAAACCCATGCATAATGGGTTATTCCAAGTGCAGGACGGTAAAATTAACCCGAGTTATCTTCCATTTTCTTACTAATTTTTTTAATTTAACTTTGGTATTTTTTACCAAATGCTTTTTTTGGAGGTTTGATGTTTTTCCTTGATTTTTTATAGGTTTTTTTTTTTTTATTTCGTCATTTTGCATGGAAGAATTTGTCCTTTAGCCTTGTTTTTTTTTTTGTTTGGTTATTACAATGACATGTTAGTAAAATTAACTTAGATTAGCTTAAAGTTTTTTTTTTTGTTGAATTTTGTTATGTTTGTTAAGTGATTCTTTTGATTTCTTGTTTATCCTTATTTTTATGAACGGTAAGTTTATCAAGTTATATTGAATTGATTTAAATTTGTTTTTTTATTATTATATTTTTAGATTTTTTTTTTATCTTTGACAATAAGTTACTAAGTTTTCAACTTTACAAAAAAAATTTATTTTTTTTGCTGGTTGTTTCGGTGTTATATCATGATTTGATAAATTTAAACTGATTTATTTCAGGTTATTGTTGTTTAAAAATTATTTTTTCACCTTAAAAAATTTTGAATACGCCAGCAGCGTAGTGTGGGTCGCTGTCTAGATGGATGCTAAAACTGCTCCTTGTGTTGCCGTTTTGACTGGTTAGACCACGCATCCTTTGCTTAACCGCGGCGCCCCAGCATGACTTGTGGTTTGTTAAAATGAGTTGCTAGGCGGGCAGTAAAGATCATGTGAACAGGTAGGTGATGGATATCCTGGAATCACTGCTACGTGTGGCAGTTGCTGTACGTTTTGGCAATGCCAGCCCAGCCCAGCCCAGCCAGAAAGGTTTAATCGACAGAGAGAGAGAGAGAGAGAGCATGGAGGGTGATGAACAACGATAATAATAATAATAATAGAAGGGATTGGGGCTGCACAAGCATTGCATGGCACATGGTCGGTTAGTGTTTAATCGAAGGGAAGAGAAAGGAAAGGGTGGATGTTATTGTAATGAGCAGTCTGAATGCATTTCCCAAAACAAAATTCTTGTTCTTATACTCTAATGTTGTGAAAGATCTTTTCAGATATGGTCGGCATTGTTTTTTTTTTTTTTTAAATTTTCCCCTCCATCTGCCTCCAAGTCAAACCGGACCCCTTGGCTTTGGGCACCGCCTTTTCCATTATCGATCCACCCCTGCTAGCCCACCTTATGCAGTGCTCCGGGGTGCCCCTGTCTAGGGGCACAAGTACACATGACCATTATCTGAAAGTATAAGCAAAAAATGAACTTGCTCTCGAACAATATGTGTCTAAGAACCAAGGATATCATTTGCCATGTTTTTCTTTTTTAAGAATCACATCGACTTAATCTTGTGAGTCTGAATAATGGATGCACACAAATTAAGTAGCACGGAGCAATTTGAGCTTGGCACAGCACTTCAAATATCATTCCTATGTCAGGATTTAATCATTACAAGGTTGACGAGAGGGTAGGAGCCTTGCTGGGTTGGACCAAGTTGTAGTTGACCCCCAAAAAACACCTTCATTGGAGATATTGTTTATGTATGAAAATTAAAGATCAACTTATAATTAAAGTCAAGTTGTTTTCCATCATCTCTCTGTTCAATAAAGTTGCTTTGTATGGTTTCAAATGAATGAAATCAAACCCTCCATGCTCGTATTTACCATTGATAAACATAGAAGATCAGAAAAATTCACGATGCCTACTATACAAACACATTAACATAATATTAAAAAATTACAAGGAGCACGCACAGTAG